ACCTATTATATTAAACTATATATTAAACTATAATAATAATAATATATTGAAAATCATACTTAAACTCCATTAAACTAATTGTGTTGATATGATATTATATAAACTCTGAGGATATATAACATCGTCTTCTCAAAGACATAGAATACAAAGAAAATAAATTTGATACTCAAAATATACTTTTTAAAAATAATATTATACTTGTTTCTAAATTAAAGACAAAACAAAACAAGAATGAAAATCTCAAAGCACACATATGTGCAAACTTTGCAAAACAAAAACTAGAAATAAAAAACAGAGTTACAGTGAATTTTCAATATAGAGTTGCACGAAACTCACATACAATAAAACCGAAATACAACTAGAGTTCCGGAAAATCCTAATTCATCTGTGAAACCTAGTCTAATCGTTGCATGGAAGTGTTGAACCATCGTTTCATATGGTCTTCAAATACGGAAATTTGTACATTAGGAAATTTCTTCAAGCAAACACCTATTAGAGACAAAAGCAGGAGTAGTTAAATATATTATATAAAGTTAAATATATAATATATGTAAAATATGTTAATATATAAAAAGTTAATATATAAAAAGCTAAAGTTAAAAAATTTTAAAACAACTGTTTAAAAATGCAAGATAATACTCACCTTCCACTATATTTTTAATTTTGGACTTCTCAAAACAGAGCTTGATTCCTTTAGAACCCTTCCAACTAATAAGTCGCGCCAGTTTATTCCTAAGTAAGGTTGACAAAATAGAGTAAGTGAAGAGAGAGGTTGTCTCTCCCTTTCCCTTTCGTAACAGATACTTGAGCTATAACACAGAAAAAACCAGTCAAAATAGACAGTTAATAAATACATATATAATAATACATGCATTATTAATAGTGATAAAAAACTCACCATATGACCATACAATACTTTATTATCTAAGTAACCATCAAAGTCTGTAAAAGATTCTTCGGTTTCCAGTGGCAAAGAGGGAAACTCTTCGGGCTGATCAAGACGATCATTATCGGGGAACAATTCATGCAAAATTTGAGAAATCCCAATGCCAATCAATTTTCGCTGACAATTCTTGCATGTAATTTAGAATTACTTGATTTTGAGATTTACCTGCCAAAAACGATATGAATCAAATGACAGCTTTGGAATGACATAATTTACCAATCTACAAAAAACTTTCAATTGCCAATGAAAACCATTCTCATTACTTTGATATAAGAAAATATAAGACTTACTGCCAATTGACCCACAGCTTTTGCAACTGATTGATGGTTGTGAATCTATGAACAACGAAATCAAATGTTCAATGTAAAATCAACCAGTCATGCATTATTACAAAAATGAGGCAACAATAAAAATACCTTCTAACGAGCTTCTAGTTGATGTAGATCTGTCTAAGAAATCTGTTTTTTTATTCAGTCTCAAATTATTGCCGTCAGACTTTAGTGCGCTAACATCAGAAAAATCTAGAGAAGGTTCACAAGTTGAAGTCTCTTCTTCATTTTCAAGCGGTTCAGAATTGTTAAGAAACTTTGTGGATCTTAAAGAAGACCCATCATTCTTAGAAACTGAACGTTTCAATTTAGGTAGAAAGAGTACAATTATCTTTATACGACTTCTCAGGCAAGTTCTCATTATTAATAGTTTCTGAAAAATAAATTACAAAAAGGGCATAAAGACAGTCCTATTGCCAAATCCCTATAAGCACACAATATACCTAGAATATTATAGGAATATTATTAAAAAAGTAAAATAATATGAAACACAAATTAGAATAAAGGACTCGGAGCCGTGACAGGGTGTTAGTGTCTAAATATTTCATATTTTAATTTATTGCGAAAAAATATCACCTCAGCCAGGGTTTGAACCTGGACCTCCCTCTCGCCAGGTTCAAACCCTGGCTGAGGTGATATTTTTTCGCAATAAATTAAAATATGAAATATTTAGACACTAACACCC